TATTTTTTACCTTGTTTTCAGTGCTGGGGATTGAACCCAGGGGCTCTCTACCACTGTGCTACATTCCTAACCCTTTTTACTTTATTTTGAGACAGAGTCTTGCTAAGTTGCCTAGGCTGTCCTTGAACTTGCCTGCCTCCCAAATCCTGGATTACAGGTGTGTGCCACCATACCTGGCCTTACTTTTTCACATTTTGCCTCAGCCTTGGAGTGGCTAGGATTACAGATATGTGCCACCACACCCAGCTTCTGGATAAATTAGTTTTGATTTGGCTTATTTTTCTGCTTTAGGGTCCCATCCAGGATACCACTGTACATTTAGTTGTCATGGGTCCCTAGCCTCCTCTGTGTGGTGCTAGTTTCTCAGACTTCTCTTATTTTTTATGATGCTGACATTTTATGGAGTACTGGTCAGATATTTTGTATTTTATAAAGTGTCCCTCAGTTTGAATTTGTCTAATGTGTAGAGGGAGAAGATGGAAGAGATGAAGTGACACTCATCACATCATACCAAGGGTACATAATATCAACATGACGTAGCACTGATAATGTTAACTTTCTTCACATGGTTCAGGTAATGTTGGACAGTTTTCTCCATCGTAAAGTTGCCGCCCACCTCCTAGTCCCCATCTCCATACTGTACTCTTTGCAAATGATTCACTATGCTCAGCTAACATGGTCAGGTAGGAGGGATAGTGGCATTGCTTTTTATTCATGCATTTGACAAACACTTTTGAGCCCTTACTAGGTGCCTAACACTGAGCTGTGTCCTGGAGATAAGATAATGATCTCATCCTTGCCCCTGTGTTTATGAATCTTCCTGTTAGAGGAAATACCCCCTAAGATAAACAAAGATAATTTAACATTTCTTAACTGTTATAGAGAGAACAAACTAGGGCGAGGTAGATGAGATGTAAGGGCTGGGCAACAAGGTAGAACCAACCTTACATATATGGTGGCTAGTAAAGACATTTTTAATTTGAGCTGCCCTTGAATAACAAAAGCAATTATCCACGCCCAGAGTAGGCAGAGGGAACAACAATTGTGTGGAGACCCCGAAGCGGGAAAGAGTGCAGCATGTTTAAGGAACACACAGGAACGGTGTGGCTGGAGCCAAGGAAATCTCACAAATAGAGATGTGACGGTAATTTGCAAAGCAAGGCCAGCAACACAGCACGTGGGGCCTTCACTGACCCTGCTATGGTTTGCATGTGTTTCCCCAAAGGTTAATATGTGAGAAGCTTGGTCATTAGAAGAGTGGTGACATTGAGAGGTGGTGGGAACTTGAAGAGGCCAGGCTCTTTGGGAGGTCCTTGGGTCAATGAATGTATACCCTTGGAAGGGATTGAGTTCTTTCTTGTGGACCCTGTTTAATTGCTGCAAGGAGATTGTTATAAAGATCTGGCCTGACCCATCCTCTCTGGCTTCCTGTTTTGAGATGTGATTTCTTGCTCCCACATACTTCCACCATTTACAACTACCTTGAGGTGATATAGTTATGGTGGGGGCCCTCACCAGAACCTGTCCCTGTTTGGAGTTTCCACTTCCCAACCTGTGAGCTAACTTATCCTCTTTCCTTTATGAAGTTAGTTTGCCTCAGGTATATTACAAGATTGTTGTGAATTCATTGAAGACTATTCAACTAAATTTTTAAAACAGAAAATATCAGAATGGTTTGTCGGTTAATAATAAATTTTTTTTTATTATTTTTTCCAAATTTTAAATTGTCATATATTTTAGTTGTGATTTCCTTTGATTGATTTTTCTCATTCTAAATTTGCTTTGACATCCAATTTTTGTTCATAATTTTGCTTTGTTTTTCATTACAAAAATCCCCAAATTATATGACATTCAGGCCCCAAAGAGTATCTGTTTCTGCCTGTACTCACAAAGAATTATCAGTTTTTAACTGCTTATTCAGTTATCTGGTATCTGTCTATCTTTTAACTGCTTATTCAGTTATAACTGATAACTGAATAAGCAGTTTTTCTTAGAATCTCATTTTGAATTGCAATGAAAAAAATCATTCATATACTTATGATATATGTTAAATTTGAAAATTTTGAGTTCAAAAGAATTGAAAGATGTTGCATGGATGGGGGTTTTATTTGTTACTGTTAACTAATCCTAAAAAAAGGAGTTTGAATATACTGAACTCTATGATATTTTAACTATAAGATTTTGTTATTAGTTCTTATTCTTGAAAAAAATTGACTAGTGAATGATAATTACATAGATATTCAAATTCCAAAAAGAAGTCACAAATTAGACATTTCCTAATACAAGATTATTTTTCATAAGTATTGTACTTAAGTGGATGAATTCATTCCCAGTAAGCCACTCAGTGAAGTCAGAAAGGAAGCACAGGACTAATGGATGGTAGTAAAGGGAGGAGAAGGAAAGCAGGCAGTGGCAGTGGTCCCATCATATTAAATTGAAAGACTTTTATTGCCATTTGGTAATTAAGCATTTCCAGTAATAAAGATTCTGCCGTATTAGTAGGCTAATATGCTTTTAAAATTCACTTTTATTTTGTTTGTATAATTTTTTGTATGTTATGTAAAATTAATTTTTGTTGTTGTTGTTTTATTGTTGTCGTGCTAGGGATTGAACTCCAAGGTGCTTAACCATTGAGCCTCATCCACCGGTCCTTTTTTTTTTTTTTTTTGAGACAGGGTCTCCCAAAGGTGCTTAGGACCTTTCTAAGTTGCTGAGGCTAGTTTTGAACTCATCATCCTCCTGCCTCAAGTCTCCTAAGCAGCAGGAATTACAAGTGTGCACCCCCACACACACACCATTAGGTGTAATTCTTCAGCTTTTTTAATATACTCTCATACATCTTTGAAAATGATATCATAGGAAGAATCCATTAGAAATGGATGTCCAGGTCCCTAAGCTAGCCAAGCAGATAGGCACCATAGAGAAACAGTTATCATTCCATTTCTGCTAAATAGGATTGCATCATAATTGATTTTCCAATCATTCCAAGTATCCTGCTTTGGAGAGGATATAAACTAATAATAAGTAGCGGTAAAAGGAGTTCTGTTGGCAGTCTAACATTGTGGTAGTTACCATGAGAGGGTGCCTGTGTACACAGTGGGGTGGCTGTGGCAACTGCTGAGGGGTCTTTACACTCAGAGTTGTAACTTGTGGTAGTAAAGATAAGGGCCAAAAGGAGGACAACAGAAAGCATACTGTGAACATAAAGGTAGTGCAGTTTTATGTAAATGTAAATAAGAAGGCAATAAAAATGTAGGGCACTATTAGAAAAGAATTCTTGGTTAAAAAAAAAAAAACTTTGGAAAACCACCATGCTGGAATTTTAAATATACTTCATTAGACATCTGCAACTGTAATATTTATAGACATGTCATTGCATTTTATTATGCTAATAAAATGATTCTCTCTATACCTATGCTATCTCTCAAATCTAAAATGAAAACAAATTGTGTTAAAACCATCCCTTCAGAACAATGGTTTGAAATTAATACTCTATTACTTAAATAATTTTTTATGACATGAAGCTGGACTTCTTTAATTTTAGTCATTTTGGCACTATGTATATTTAAATAAAACTTAGGTGTATAATAGGAAAGGCATTTCTGTAAAAGTAGTACTTCAGTTCAAAACATTTTATATACAGCTTGTATACAGTTTATATACAACTGTGATAACAACTGGAGAGGCTGTAGAGAAGTAGATCATTGGTCCTTTACCCCATGGGATTCTGAAGTAAGTTAATTTTGCAAGGGTTGGCTTGCCCTAGGTTGAATATGAGTGCAACAATTAATAAAAAAAAATTCATGACTTTTTTAGGAGTAGTTGCAAGAAACATAAACCCATTTAAGATAAAGCCTTTAAAAAATATGGAGAACTGCTACGATGCAGAGAGATGTAGAAAAAACATTGGGTTATCTGAACATCTAGTCCTCCAGAAGGCAGAATCCAGATCAGTTTAGTGGACTTCGCGTGCAGGAATGTATGGGTATTTGTGCTAGTTCTCTGACATTAATGTGATTATTCCATCAACATATGCTAGTTTCTTGCCATCCCGCTACAAATGACTTGTTCTCCAAAATTCCAGCAAAAGTGGCTCTCTGCCCAACCTATAGATTGGTTATTCCTTTTGGCTTAGGTGCAGGCTGCTGTGCCTGGGAGGCAGGTTCCTCTCATATGCTGGACTGCCTTGCTAGAGAGGAACTGTGAGCATGGCAGGTCAAGGAAGGAGAGAAGGCTGAGTGTGGTTGATGGCTAATATATTGAGTAAGGGCTTATCCAGTACGCTCACAAGGAGGGCCATTTTGTCTACTGGGAGGTTCATGGGAAGACTTTGTGGAGGAGATGGCAAAGCTGAGTCTGACTTAGACGTCAAGATTAAATAGATGAAGAAGGAGGGTGTTCCAGATAGTGAAGCAAATTGAGCTAAGTCCGTTGGGTTTATGCTTGGCACTAGGTCAGTCTGGCTCAGCAATCTTCAGTGAGTTGCCCTAAACCATCCAAGCAGCTCATTTCAGTACCTGGGAGGAATCTCTCAGGTTTGTGGTCAGAGCATTTGTGTTTTTCAAAAGTTCCCCAGGTGATGCTGAGGTGAAAAGGACTCAGAACCACTGGACAGCCATAGCCTGCAGGACATTAGGGGTTTATGAACTACTGCTGGGAAAGGATATTAGAATAAGACTGTGCAAACTTATGTATGTCAGCTCAGGACTTTCTCAACTGAATCCTCTAAGTGAGAAGAAGCCACAGAGGCCGCTGTGTTACGGGTTTCCACTGTTTGTGGTGCCAGTGTAGTTGTATCTGCTTAGAATCCTCTTGGGGCTTTAGACAGAACTGGAGAAGGAGAGTCCTGGTCTGGGTACCTGCACAGCTCTTAATGCCTGTTCACAGTATTATGTACTCATTGCTTCCCCTGTGGGGAGTAGATACTCTAAACTCAGATTTAGTTTTCTAAGCAGAATGTGTTGAAGCTTTTATATAACAATTCTTTCTTCTTTCTTCAGGGGAGTCGGCTGCATCTTTGTTGAGATGATCCAAGGAGTTGCTGCTTTTCCAGGAATGAAAGACATTCAGGATCAACTTGAACGTATATTCCTGGTAAATTCTTTACAGAATGCTTCTGAGAAAAACTAGTTTCTAATTAATCACTTAGTGACAGATTCCAGAGTGATACGTGGAAAATGTTTTTTAACAAATTAATCTGTTGTCACATTTAGTTCTAGCATATTTTTGGATCTTTGAAAAAGCAGGAAATTTGTTAAACTTGTGTTTTAAAGCTATTGTAAATGAATAATTTGCAAATATAGAAAGTAAGATATAAGAGGCAATACAGAGTAACGGGTTAAAAATGGGCACTCAGAACAATTTCAAGTGATTTATATAGAAGCCCAGCTTAACCCCTGCCACCCTTCATCTCTTGACTGTATGACTTTGGTAACTGTCTTTTATAACACAGAACATGGGAAATGGTGGATGTAGGGAGGGTAGGAACCATGGAGACCCCAAGCATACAGTACCTTGGCCAGGTCCTTGGGCCTGGCATCATCAGTGATAAGTCATGGTAGCATGTAGCCTTGAGATGATGTGTTGAGAATGGTGCTTTACTTCTTGGTCTTCCTCTCTAAAACTATATCCCCAGTCTATTTATGAAAAACACATCACATGAAACCAAATTATGGCACATTCTACAAGATACCTAACCAGTACTCCTCAACGCTGTCAAATGTCATCAAAATCGAGGAAGGTCTAAGAAACTGTCACCACCAAGAGGAGGCTAAGGACACTTGACAACTCTATGTAATGTGGTCTCCTGAGCAGAATCCTGAGCCAAAAAAAGAACATTAGGGAAAAAAATAATGAAATCTGAATAAAGTATGGTTTTTAATTAATGTCAATATATGCATGTGGTTCCTTAGTTGTGACAAAAGTACAATATAAGATTAGACTTTAACAAGGAGGGAAGCTGGTTGAGGAGCCCACATGAACTCTCTGTACTGTCTTTTTCAATTTTTTTAATACATCTGACACTATTCTAAAATTAAAAGCATATTCAGGTTTTTAAAAGTCTGCAAAAAATAAGTGTTCTACAGCCAGATTATCTGGGTTTAGCAACACCTTCTGTCTGTCACTTTTTAGGTATGTAGGTATGTGACCTTGGATGATGGACTTACTGGCTCTCTGAGCCTTAGTTTGCTCCTGGATGAATTGAGGGGTAATAGTAGCACTTACCTCAAAGGTTGCTTTAAGGAATCATTGACTTGCTATAGAGTGTTTTTAGAACAATGCCTGGCATAGTAAATACATCATAAGTATATGTTACTATTTTTGGGTACATTGTTTTTATGCCAGGTAATTTTATTCAGTAGGCTTTTATGTTAGCAAATTGTCCTATAAACCAAATATTTAAGTATGAAATCAGAACTAGACAAATCAGGTTTTTGTTAAAAGGATTTAAACTAAATACATTATAATAGCCAACATTACCATACTTTTTACTTCTTTGGTAAAACCCCCCCTATGAAATCACTGAGGTAGATTTTAGTATGGCCTATGTGAAGAGACTTATTAGATTACCTTTTATTTAAGTTATTCAAGTACTATATCAAAGTGTAGTTTTTTCATATCATGTGTAAGAACCACAGTAGGGCATAGTGATAGTAATGCTATGAATTGAGACTTTATCACTAATGTGTTCACCTTGATGCCAACAGTAAAATGATAAGAAAAGGAGACTACAAACTAGAAAATTAAAGCACATGATTTCTTCCTGCAGTATCCTGTATCCCAGCAAGTCCCTGCACACTAACAGCAGGTGGCCAGTGGGAGAGTCCCTAACACAGAAGCCCTCATCAAAGTGTAGCTATTGATTTTTCTTATCCCAGAAGCTGTCTTCATCCACTTTCTTTATTTTTATTGTATCTGATATTTATGAGTTCCCACCCACAAATATTGAAAAGATTTCTTATGACTAGAAGAAATGTGTTTTATAATGAAAAATTCCCATAATATTAAAAAGTATAAAAGCTGAAAAATTGCCCTTTGTCCTACTACTCAGAGAAAACCACATTTAGTATTTTGATGTATAGTTTCCATACATCAAAAAATTGTATCTTGTATACCACTTTATAACTTGCTGTTTTCATCTAATACTATATAATGGACACATTTAATTAAAAATAAATTTTGAAATCGATCATCATTTCTGATGTCAGAGGAGTGTTTTTCATTGTATGGAGGAGACAGTGTATGAACAAGAGCAGCCTAATATCAATAACTTGTTACTCTAACAAAGTGCTGCCAGAAATAAACTTTGCATACCTATCCTACTAAGAATAATGATTAGAATTGAAGGTTTCTAATTCAATACAATTTAATTTTCATAAATTTATTGACTGCTCTTATACACCTACCTCTTTATCTAAACATGTGAAAATCATTTTCCCAAGATCATCTCTTGTTTTTCTTTGTCAGATTGTATTGAGACTGTCAATTTGCTCCTAAGCAAATTGAGCTTTCCCTACTAAGAAAAAATCATTAATATTTCATTTTCCTTAGTACAAAGGTACAGGTTTTTTAAGCATATTTTCTTTTTTCCTTTCATGCTTTTAATTTTCATTCACTTATTTTAAATAAAATTTTTACCCATATTTTCTTAAAAATATAATAAACTTTTCCTCATATTTTGTCATTTAAAAAAATCAGTAGAGAGGGAATTTTAATAAGATGTATTTTGAAGCATCCAGATTTTATGCTACAACCTGTCTTCAAATGTTTAGTTTTTAAATTTATTTAAAGTTTAAGTATAATAATAACAATTCCACTGAATTGTATTCTGAGAATAATTTTCTTATCTTTACATTTCACTTAGCTTTTGACTCTCTTGTGGCTATCAAACTATCAAATTGTTGATGATTTGTTTTATGCTAAAATAATTAATTTCCCCATATCCAAAATCAGAAAACTTCAAAAGGAATCATATAGTTGATATAGTTTACTTTGTCAAAGTTTTGATTTGAAATACTTATATAATCTAAGTGATTTCCAAAGGGTGGCACCTTGTTGAATTGCTTCTTCTATGGAGATTTCACTATTATTTCTTAATTTTATGGCAATAATTTTCTAATTTTATGGGTATTCAGAGACCTTTGGGCTATGACTATGCTTTTAATAAGCCATGGAAATAAATTACTATGAACTTTCCTTGGGATTATTGATACACTAAACTACTGTTTCCTCTTAGCATAGAGACCTTAAATGCACACAAGAATCATGATTGATGGCAATACTGCTGTCATTTACTGTAGCTTTTTAACATGTGAAATGCTTTTTAAAATAAAATGCCCTTTGATAATTGGAAACTAGATCAGTTATATAAAGTTGCTGCTTTAGAACTAAATGATGTTACATTTCACCCCGAAGAATTAGACAAAACAATCAAAATAAGAGAAATCTTAAAAACTTCTTTGGCACTAATTGTAATCATCTTAAATATTTTATTTTCTCTGTGGATTTGTTTACATTTGCAAATGTTAGCTGTATAATACACAAGTAAAGTTTCTCAAGACTTGAATGATCATTGGAAGAGGAAATTTTTACAAACTTAATCAGGTTGAATCACTGGGAAAAAATGCCTTTCCTCAGTGACCTTTTATATCTGATCTGAAGAGGAATGACTATTAAATCATTATAGAGATTATATTTTCTTTAACAGGCTTCTGATATAACCTGCCAGAGACTCCCTTCTAAAGTGGCAGTGTTATATCTGAATTCTAGTATAGTATTGCCAAGGAGATAATTGACTCTGAAAAGTCATGAAACAGGATTATTTGGATTGTTTGTGTTTTAATACAGGGATTAAAGTTTATTCATATGCCTATGAACTGAATATAGATAGGTGGTTAATAAGTTTGAAGCACAAAATTAATAGCTCATTACCCAACATAACTAGTGTAATTAGCTCCCACACACTGAGTCTTTATAAAAAATGTGGAAGGCAACAAAGATCAGTTAATAAAAGCCTTTGTGTTCCTTTCTCCTTCCTTTGGAAGAAGGGAACATTTCACATTTTTAACAAATCCAGTGAATTCATTTTCCAAACATAATAATTGTGTGCATATATACAAGTTGAGTTGTTTTGCTACAATTCGAGATTTCATCATTAAATTATTTTCTTTGAAATTGTGATGCTCATATGCAAGAAAGAAAGGAAGGTGATAGAATTTTGACAAATTACATTCAAGACATTTTGAGTTGCCAAGTGAATAGGTACCCATTTCTCAAAGCAGCAACTCTCCTTTTTGGTGGAAAGAATGATTTATTTTCATTTCTTCAGCATAACCCATTTTAAAATGTGGCATGATGTATTGTGTGCACCTCCATTAGTTGCAAAAAATAAGCAGCAAATACATTCCTTCGGGTGAATATGTATTCAGAGTGACAAAATCACACCTAATAAAAAGACTTTGTTTTCTAATCACATTGTTCCAAATTAAAAGTTCTACTTGGTGGAACCATGGGAATATGTATGTGTCTCTCTCACTTCAAAACAGCTGAACAAATGGCAGAGAGTGCTTGCACAGCTGTCTGAAAACTTTGGCAGTTGCTTCTGGGCTTGTGTGGCTCATGGCCCAAAGTATAGCAGTCATGACAGAGGGGTGGCATAATTCTGTTTTTCAGAACTGTTCTTTTTTCCTCTTTGAATGTTGATAACCCTCACAGTCTTACCTTTCCCTGCTGACCAGATCTCCTGGATCAAACTGAATTTCCCAGTTCTTAGCCTATTTTGGCATTATTTGATTGGTACACTTGTCAAAATATCCCTCTTATCAATATAGATAAATAGATATCATATATATATATGTATACATACATATATATATAATTTGTTTATCTATCTATATTTGTATACACACATATTCATACACACAATTCTGGGTGTGTTTGCACATGTGTATATATGTGTCTGTGAAAAGAATCACTAGCAACTTGGAAAGCCACTACTACTGGCTTCTTGAGTCTGATCCTTCCTTATGCCTCTGTGTTTTGCACTGAACTAACTGGAGAAAAATTCTCTGCCAACCCAGTTTCTGTCCTTGCTC